AACATATACTTCCTCTACTCGACGCGTTACCCATCGACGCAAGGCTACCACCATATATTTCCGCGATCAAGCATGTTGAGCCGGCAGAATTCCTAGAGCGATCCGAAAGTGACTTCAATCTATCACTGCCATCAATACGTCTCAACCCAGAAACAACGAGTATCTTATCTACTCCTTTTGAATATTAAGATGTCAAGCTACATCTATGATGCCGTAACCCCCTGCCCCTCGCGACAGGGGACTTCGGGGCTCAATCGAAGCAGCATTAGTGGCGCGCTCGATGGTCTGTGGGACACCAGCATCACCAGTAATGACTCCACCAAGAACATCGACTTTACGACCGATATTAGACCATCAGTGCTGACGGGCGTCAAGCCCAGGCGCAAAACTCAATCGAACGCGTCCTTCCTGATTCACGACGAATCCGAGGTAGACTCCGTGCAAGCTGCGCCTGGTTTAAGAAGGGCACCAAGTACCGCGACAACCATCGCTTCGTCTCACAGAAAGTCCTTGCTCGCCCAGCCGGCTCAGAGGTTTCGTCCTAAGGTTAGCTTTGTTGCTAGCCCGCAGAGAAAATCACGGCCCATAGGAGTCGTCACGTCAACGCAGCACAGAGAACGGGGCCAGGAAGAAAACAATGAGCTTTTACTGCAGATAAATGGCGCGAGACAGAAGCCTCAGTCTGGGGATGCACTCAAAAAAGCCGTTCGACGCAATACGGTCTACATACCTCCAGATGATACCACAGTTGCGAGCGTGTTCATGGGTCTATTCAGTCCCCAGAAAACCGAGAACGTTGAAAATCTTCTTCGAGAGGACACGCAGATCAACAGCCTGGAGGCACAGATCGCACGGAAACGACTGGCTAAACGGTCTCTCATTTCAGCGGCGCAGCGGGCGCCGTTGAATCCCAGCACGAAAATTGCCCAGGGGGCTAATATTCATGTCGACATGCCTGGCAAAAACGGTGGGAAGGAGAATATACCACCTGGATTATTCTTCATTGATAGTAAAAGAGACCACCAATCCTTGAAGACCAGAGCGCTCTGTGAGCGCAACCAGGCTTTTTTCTCGAGTGGGAATCAAACTCTCGGGGCCAAAGCTGCCTCAAAGCCGACGAACTCGGCGCTAGCTTCCAAGACAAACAATCGGATTCTTAACGAGAATCAGCCCGAGACCAGGAAATGCATATCCGAGATCGAGCCAGTCAAGAGACATCCAGTGAACAGCAGGAAGCAGACAACGTGTTTCAACCACGAAGCCTTGTCAGCCAAAAGTGATGAGGCTCCCATATCAGTGCGGAAGACCATGATGGCAAAGTCCAGAACCCCACAGGTTCTGGAAGCGAAAGAGCTCGCAAAAAATTCTTGTATCATCCCTGACAACATCACGAAGCCGGAACTGTACGAGGATGACTGGCTCGGGCACCAGGAGGTTCTATTGACCCAGCTTATGAATGAGTTATTGGACACCAGTAATCACAACGCCGGTTGTGTCGATGCTAGCAAACTCAGAAATGAGCTGCTAACCCTATACCAAGGTGCCTCTCTTATGCAATTGCAGAAACGGCTGAAGGCATCATTACTCTATGGTGCTCTGAGCCTGCCAAAGGATGTGCTCAATGATGCCAGCAAATTGTATCGAGATTTGGGTCTAAAGCGGAAATTCCTTGACTTTTGGATCCATACTTACGACTTGCAAACTCTCAGAGCAGCACTGGAAGTGATTACTGGGAGAGCGATTCCAAATTCGAAGCTGGCGGCAGGCATCGGCGACATTGGCGGAGAAAAGGCAATGAAACGGAAACTAGCAGGCTTCTTGGATATTTTCCTTTTGCAGAACCAGGATATGGATCGACATCCACTAGACCGGGGAGGAGAGGATGGAGACATCGCAGGACGTGCATACCGTCGAACCTTCCTCCGGAGCATCATGATCATTGTTCTCCTGGATCAAGCAAAGCAATGCTCTGAGGTGTCTCTACCATATCTCCTTTTTCAACCTTCGTCCTTGTACAAGTCCTCCAATGCTGTCTTGCAGGCATTGGGTCAATTGTTATTGCCATCGTGTGGCGACATCATCAAGGCGCTGTATCATCTTAATTGCCAGTTGTCATATGAGCAGCGATCCTTGGTGGAGTACCAATTTGGGATTAACAATATTGCTGTGGATCTGCGCGATGGAGTGAGATTGGCACGACTTGTTGAGTTGTTGGTTTTGAAGTCAGTCTCAGTTGGAGAGTCGGAAGATCAGATCCGGCCATTGTCCAGCAGGCTTAGGTTTCCCTGCATGGGACGGACAGTAAAACTGTTTAATGTGCAGATCACCTTGGAATCACTGTCTTCGATGGACGATACAAGGAAGCTTGTCCACAATCTGCGCGCGGAAGACATCGTGGACGGGCATCGTGAGAAGACCATTGGACTACTTGGGGGGCTCGTCAACACTTGGGGTCTCGACAGGCTTTTGAATAGTCATGGATTGCGGAGGGAAGTTCATCGATTGAAGGCGGCCACTTCCCGATTTGACATTGAGGATCCCGAAGGTTTGATTTCAGCTTCTTTGGGCATTTCAGGAGGCGAGAACGACATAATCAGATCATTGCTCAAACAATGGGCGAGTACCCTAGCGGAGAACAATGGGCTGCACCTTGAGAACTTCAGCACGTGCTTTAGCGATGGGAAAATGTACGAGTGCATTGCCAACGAGTACGAGGGGCATATGGTTGCCGATGCTCAATCGTTGTCATCGACCCTGGAGTCTCGCCTTCAAGCTTTCGGCTGCAGTGCGCCGCTTGGTGAGTTAATGGCGACTACCCTGATCGTTTCTGCAACGACTAACCAACCTTTAGTGAAACTGATATGCCCATCTGCTTCTGGTGCTCATATCCCCGACGCCGACTTCACGATCGGAGTCCTCGCCTTCCTCTGCTCTCGAATATTATCTTCCATCAAACGGGCATGAAAAGCTTAGGTAGATGCATCGCAACATCATTTGGAGGGCGGACCTCATGAGCAGCAAACAGCAAGCGAGGGATTCACTACTTTGCGCATAATTTGCTGAGCGTTGGAAAGAACAGAACTGAGTCATTAGGGTAACGAGGAGTTTACCAGGAAGTTTGGGTTTATTTTCATAGGGGACTCGCTCCAGCCACCTTCACCGATACCAATATCAATGTCAACATTTTATGCCGAATGTTTAGGAGCTACAGTGCAAAGCAAATACTCCAAGTTATGAACTCGTTCAGAAGGGCCATCAAGATGGGCATATGGCGCCTTCTATCTGCCAGGCCCTGATACACAAACAGCGATGGACTTAGCGGCATGGATCTATAGAAGAGATAGTATATGATTTGAAAGCATGACAGTACAGTACTCAAGGCTCATCTGTGTCTCAATAAACAGACCCCGGAATGGTCTTCCTTCTCTTGCCTCCCTCTTCATAACACCAGTCGATAGAACCATGCTATCCAGAAAGACGAGTACTCTACCCCGTATCGTTGCTCCCATCTTACTGCCTAACTCCCGGCCCCTATAGCTTAGGTCAGACCTCGCTCACCCAGCATCACAAAGCACCTTGCTCTGCTCCGGACCCACACAGCATACGAGCTATATCCTCAAGACTTGGTCGGCTCAACGGATGTCGCGTTGCGCAAGGCCCGAGTAAGGCCCACGCTGATTGTGAATCCCAGGTGCCTGCCTACCCACACAGGGAACGCAATGTTGATGCCTACACCGTCGAACCTGTATCCATGGGGAGCAGACTGCAGCAATCCGGAGCGATTCTACAGACAGCACAACACAGCACAGCTTCCATATCACACCCAGGTCAGCCATGCATTTCCCTTACGTGGGTCGTTCAACCGATGATGCTATCCCAAGCATTCCCGCGTGGAAGGCTTTGCGTCACCGAGATTGGCAACTCCTACTTTTATCGGAAGAAGGAGTTCTGCTAGAAAATGCCACCGAATATCATATTATATCATATCCCCAACCTCCGTGCGCGGGCCTTCGCAGCCAGGATCGTTTTTGAAATAGTGAAGTAACGAAACTTACGGTGGTAGGCCGTGACAGAACGGATAAAAATAGGAAATTAAGTGATTGACGGTCACCCCTTCAGCCCTGTCGCCTGTTCCATCATACATAGTAGTAACCACTACTAGGAAGTATTGCTAAGGGCTAGGATCATCGCCACGGGAAAGATACGGGGAGGCCTGATGGGGGATGACATCACAAGGTCACATTTTTTTCCGTCCGTGTTGTGGTGAATGTGATTTGTTTGGGTGAGAGAGTGAGTGAGTGACTGACTGACTGACTTAACCATGATTAATTTAGGGATAGTAGAAGGAAGTATAGGGTGAGAGGAGTATGAGTAAGATAGTCCCAGCTGCTGATGATAAGCCGGTATAGCCGGAGATCTCAGCCACTAATTGAGAGTGAGAAGGCTGCAAACAGTGGGTGGCAGGGCGATGACGTAGCCAACGCTTCTGCTTTTGTTCGGCCCCGAAAATATCCGGACTGTTGTGTCTACTTGTCTCGGTATACATTCTCTTTTCTAACATCTTGTTGTTTTCGGGGGGGGATTAGATTTGTAAATGCATAAGAGTTCTGACATAACCTCAGCTGTATAATGATATAATCCACAATGACTATCAATGCGAACAAACTTGAATAGCAGGTCAAATGACAAATGCGGGGAAAGTAACAGAGAGAGAGAGAGAGAGAAACACCCGTGACATTCGAGAAGTTTGCCCAAAAGGGAAAGTAGGCAAAGTCTCAGCTGGCACTGAGTGCATCATCATGGAGAAAACTTGACCTCTCTTACTCTCTAGGCGGTCGGAGCTTCTCTCACTGTGTCTCTCTTGCGCTCTCTCCTTACAACCCGACATTAGCGGCCTGCACTCTACTCCTTTGGAACGTTGGAGGAGGCTTGAGTTAAGCTACCTAACCACCCTCCATCTCCCTCAAATGTGTGCTGGATCAACCTTATTTGCACGAGCTATCATTGGACAAGATACAGATCGCCCGCCTCATGATCATTCCCCCCCCCCGTCGTGTCGATCGCTGATGCGGAGAGGAACAAGGTAGGTTGGCCTTTGAATATCATCCGAGCATGCATTGTGAACTTACATTGCACTCACCACACGGCCGACGGGCCGATCAGTCAAGTCAATTCACTCAATCAACTCGGCTCTTGAGCGGAGATCCCAACTGCTTTTTATCTCCTCATTCCTTCTCCTCCGTCTTCCCCTTTCATTTGGGTCGCAATGGATGGCAGTGCTGGCGATGTGGTTCTTGGCGATTGATAGTCCCTGAGACCATCGAACGCATAGCCTCATTATCTGGACTGCTAAAAAGCAATTCTGCCTCTGCACGGTATCCATCCGACGTGTTCCTGTTCAATCGTCGCGGTGCCAAGAACCAGCTATGCATCACTGAAGCAGATGATCGACGGCGATCCTCGTCCAAATCAGGAACTCCCGTTTCTCCTATCGCGAGCGATTTCTCAGCCGAACGGCCTCCCCTTGTCCTCCCTCCACATCGGTAACGTCTTGGCCAGACAGTGCAAAAGGCATTTGGAATGGGGTGGGATCTTGGCATCGCTTGGCCGCGCGACCAACTCAATTTGAACCGTCCAGCAACAAATTGCACCGAGTAAGGCAAGGCAAGGAGAGAAGAAGGAATGTGATCGAGAGCGGAGTACGGGATAAGTCGGTAGCCGCGGGATGGAGAGGAGGTGTTTCTATTAGGGAGCGGGTTGCATCCTCAACCGGCCAGACCTTTCTTTTCCCGCGGCGGTATTATGGCTGTGTTCTCTCTTGGCAAAGGTAAGCTGCTCCGGTCGTCACACCAGAGGGGGGGTGGGAAGGCGAAGTCATCGGACGTTGCCAAGCAATGCTGTGGAATGTTGCCGTGGCCGGTCAGAAGAGAGAAGTTGAGTAAGGGGCAGTCGGACGGGGGGGACAGTCTTTGCTTTTCAACTCCCAGAGCAACTGCCGCCAACTGATCGCTGCATGGAAGGGGACTCAATGTTTCCCCCCTTGGCGCTCTTGGCGGAGGGGTCTTGGCCTTCTCAGTCGGGAATTCACTGAGAGGTGCGGGTGATTTTCTCTCTACCCCTTGTGTCTCTCCGTCTCCAAATGGGGGAGGACGGACGATCACAAGACCCGTTCTATGCTATGTACGGTCTGCGGAATCCCTCCCAGGGGAGAATGTCATCACCTTCTCCTTGCCCTTTGGTGGCATTGGCATTGACACATTCCCAATGGTTACCTACTATGGTAGGATTCCGGACGTGCAATTGGACCCGGCAGGTCGGTCACCCAGGCTTAGACTTTCTAGACCCTCTCTCTTGCCACGGCTGCCCCTACGATTGACGCCGAGTTCTGGACCCTCAAGCAAGGGTGAGGTGCCCCCCCATGTGCGACTTGGGTTGTTGACCATCACTGCAGCAGCGGGATCTGGCCCAGCAGCCCAAGCAACGATCTTATATTCCGTGTATCCAACTTACTGTACATGGTATGGTATTGTGGTTACGGCGAACGAGGGCCAGGCCGAGCTTTCACCAAAAGTACCTCCAAGGTGCAGAGGTGCAGCATGGGCGGAATTCCGAATCCTTCCATGAAAAGAATCGAACATGCCACCCATCTGGTGAGCTCGGAGAGACAGGTGCGGGTTGCAGCTGTCATGACGGCAACCTCGCATACGGTACATCCGGTCTGAGTGCGGGCTAAGCTAAACTTGAGGGAGGAGGGGGAAGAAGCAAGTACGAGGGGGTTCATTGAATGATTCGACGATTAGCTCAAGAGTAAAAAAACGCTCGGTCCATCTCCCACCATCCGCGGAGGAAGAGAAAGAGGGGGTGGTTTAGAGGGCAATATGCGCCGGGTCGGCCGACCCTAAAGCGGTTGGTTATATGGGATCAAGAGGCTGACCACCAGACACGCAGTGATTGCCGTGCCGGACGGCGTGTTTTGGGGTTTACTCGATCTGGGGCGTCGTGCATCAGGAGGCAGAAGCGCCGGCGCAAATCCGCGAACGACGTTCTTCCGTTGCTGGTGGAGCGAGAGGGAGAAGGCGAGTGAGCGAACGAGCCAGAAGAGTAGAAACGAGGAGGCGAGAATAGGGTATAGTAAGCCATTGTTAATGGTGTCTTCCCTCCACCCCCTCTCTGCCTCTTCCCAACGAACTCCTCCGGAGTAAATGAGACGACTGGGTGCTTTTGTGCAGTGCACACGGGGCTTAGTCTTACTAAGGTAATTAAATCCCTCATACAATTTGGCCCTTGGGGCCGACGTCGGCCGTTCAGCAGTACGGAGTACGGATACTTGGCTGCCTTCTGGTCACCAGGACCAATAAGATATGACATATACCCCCCCGTTCGTATGTATGAGATGCTGTAGTGTATGCCACCATGCCTACTCACTCCCCCTTGGGGTGGAGGGTGGTGGCTGCTCCGTACTCGACAAGAGCCCTGTCAAGTGTGAAGTTATGCTATTCTTATCCCATTGAGAGATGATCCGGGAACGGGTCTGAATATGTATAAGGGGTGGATTATACAGGGGCAGCCATCAGCCCTCAACACTATACTGGTGTGTACAAAGTCGAACAAGGTGTCAAAAGCTACAGGGGTAGAAAAAAAAAGTACAGTACTGATTCCGCAGGACTCCACCCTCCTCTCAATTTCCACAACAAACCACTCAGACAATCGCATTCAAGACTCTGCTTGTTCTTTTGTTCGTTTCGATCATGCTTGATTGCTTGCTTTGCTTTGCTTTGCTTTGCTTTGTTTGTGTTTGGAAACACTGTCTGTTGTCACTTGATTTTCAATAGCAGTGTAGAGTCGGGGAATCCACTTTGCACACGTACGACGTGTTGTTTATTTTCCGTTGCTCCACTACTCCATACTATACTATGGAGTGCAATGGTCCGATGCACTTGAACCCCCTCCCCTCCCCACCCCACGTCTTGAATCCTTCTCCGTCTCCCCTCTCAAGGCAAATGTCATGAAGGCTGGGGTGGTGTGCAGTTACTGCCACCGTGGACAGCACTCACTAGCTGAGGTACTCAATGATTTCCTCTTTCGGGTAGCCGGTGACTGACTGATTGACTGAAGTAGACAATCGAGTTGAAGCTGCCGGCAGCCCGACGTACTCCGTCCGGCCTTATTTACGTTGTTTTGCACTTCACTCCAGCATATAGGAACCACTGTAGGCTCTCGTTGTGGATGCTCCACGCTCAGCAATAAGCTAAGCTCATCTGCCTCTAACACCCCCAACGAAAGTAATTGCTCGTCATTGATGTTATCCCACATGAAACACACGAGTATAGAGTAACTTAGTGATCAACTACCAGACCCAACCAACAATCCCCCAATCCTCCCTCCGATCCTCCGCAATTCCAAAACCCCAGGATTTTCAACCAAAGATGATGGGACTGTTACCCGGACCCCAAACGCCCCCAAACGCCCCCAAACGCCCCCAAACGCCCTCCCCCCAGGAATCAGGATCCCTTCCACGCTACATAGTACCTAGTACTGTACATCATTAGGCTGGGTTGTGTTTGTTTTTGCGTACCCCCCGAGCCGTGCCCGGTAAGCCACCATGCACCCATTTCCCTCCCCCCGGTTTGTATGAGTGTTGTTGTTGGTGTTGTGTGCCCCCCCCCCGGTCCCCCGGGATTACTGGAGGTAGTGTTCCCGGACGCGCGAGCTTCTTTAGCTTAGCTTAGCCTGGAGCATGGCCTAAATCCTGTGGTTGTGTTTGTTGGACTGCATGTACTGTACTTTGCAAGACCCTGGTTCGAACACTGCTGTAGGCTGTAGGATGATGAGGAGGAGAAGGAGGAGGAGGGGAGGGGATTGAACACTCCGGAAGAAGGGGGGTCTAGATTTGCGGAGGAGTGGTCGCCATGGCTTTTTCTCTTGCGTGCTCTCGTTCTCACTTACATTGAGTACGGCGTGCCGTACAATAATAGCTGAGGGTGCTTACTTGTCCGTTTACTTGTTTATTTGCCTGCCCTGAAGTCATGGTCATAGTCATGGAGACTCGGGAGGGTCAAGGTAGATAGATGCCTGGGAGGGTGTAACTCGGATGAAACTGGTCCTCCGCCCCTCCCTTCTTTTCTATTTGTGTGTTGATTGGATAAAGGTTGTAGTAATATTAACGTGGGGGAAAGAGGATCGATTAACTTGATGAGGTAATGCAGACGAGCATTCAGTTTGACATTTGCTGTTTCGTTGTCGGTGTGCGTGTTTTTCTTTGTTGTGTGTGTGTGGATTGGAGGGTTGGAGGACAAGTGGTCGCTTCACTTGTATGTGATCTATGACCTATTGAAGTTGGGGATACTGTCAGAGAAGAAAAGGCTCACCGAGGAGAGGTTTTGAAACTCCCCTCCTGCTAAGCTAGGCTCAGCTCAGCTCCGCTTAGCTACCCAGTACTCTTCTCAAGTGATCATGACTGGATCCCGGGATATCGTCGGAGGGCAGAGGCAGAGAGAGAAGGAGGGCGGTGATGGAACCTGATTGCTGGGATGAGGTGGCTTTTGCATTCGGCGATCTGATAGCCATGATGCCCGTGTGAGTGGAGATTCTCTATTGACAAGAGAGGCAGGAAATTTATTTATTTTTTTTTTGAGAGGAGAGCTTGGGTCATTGGTTGCGTGACTTTGTGCCCAGGGCCATGGTGGTGGTGGAGTCGTGACAAGGTGGGGATAATCCCTGAATCGTGGGAAGCTTGTCCAAGAACTCTCGCCGAGTAGTTGAATCGTAATCCATGGAAATCATTCATGGCATACATGTGAGTACATACAATGGCTACCCTAAAAGTGGAGGACAATTAACTATAATCATACACAGTTAACAACATCAAAGTTAGATCTCCGCTTTTCTTTTATCGGGGCGATCCAAATAGGACTGTCATGTCATGTCATGTCAGATCAATGATCATGAGAGTCACGTAGGGTTCAAGTTCTTACCAATGCACTAAAGTGATCGCTTGCCTTGCTCCCAATTCCCTCTGCGTATAGAGTAGGGTTGCCAGGCTGAAGAGAAGATCAGATCAGGTTCGCTGTGGTCTCCGGGCACTCAATTCGCGCTTACCTACCGTGGGTCCCCGCCTGTCCTCTTCCCTCGTCGCTTGTTGGCGTAGCTTCGCTGACCGCTTCTCTGACTGCTAGTCAGTCAGTCAGTCAGTCAATCCATTTGCCCTTTGCCCATCGCCCATCGGGCATGAGTTACTACTCAACTCATCCCTAGACACTGGCAGATGGAGAACAATGGATCTCAATCATTCCCCCCCCCCCGGACACAAACCACTTTCCCACTTCTCCCCGGAAAATACGGCATCTTCAGCCCAGCTACTGCGTAACAAGTTTTGATCTCTCGGGACTGGAGTTGGATGATTCGACGACCCCTTAGTTCGTTGTCGCTGACCCCTACCTTAGGTTCACATAATTGCTTTTTCTTTACCTTCTTCGTCTGGGAGACAGGCACCTAGAGCTTGGCGTACGCACTGCGGAATGTGTGTTGTCTTGTAAGTAAATTCGTATAGTGTCTGTATGGATGTGGGAGTGTATGTAAGAATACGATTCTTCCTGAGGGATACTTGATGCTGTCAGTTTTCTTCTCGGCACTGGTTCCCTGTTCCTAAGCCCTGCTCTGCGCCCCCCCTTCTCTTTTCAGGCAGGGAAATCCTGGAGCTGATGATCGTCTTGGGAATTTCTTGTCATGAATGCCTAAATCTATATTTGTCGATGGGTGCTGGGATATGGGAAGGTGATTCTCTTCTTGGCTTTTTTTCTTTGTTCTTGGTGGTCATTCGGTACATGGTTGTTGTAAAGGATGACTTAAGGCTTTTCGAAATGTTGTTGTCTGGTTTCGGGCTGGGATGAAGTATGAGTATAAGCTCTGTAGGACAGTGCTGGCGCCGGGAAGTAAACAATGACAAAGCCATCATTCATCTGCACCATCAAGATTATCACGTTCTGTT